GTGCTGGAGGCCACCTTGATGTGGTGGCTGGGGCTGGAGTGAGCACAGGCCAAGACTGGTCCCTGGAGAGTGCTGCTCCTGAGACCTTGCACATCTTTTGTTAGATTTAATTCTAGGTGTTTTATGTTTTCTGGTGCTGATGCAAATAAAAAAGTATGTTTTATTATTTTATGTCAAATCGCTTCCTGTTCATATAAAGAGATATAATTGAGTTTGTATATTCAGCTTGTATATAGAGACCTAATGTTACTTTTCCATATAAATAGTTTTTATAGATTCTTTTGTATCTTCTATAATTTTTGAATTTCTATGACCTCTGAAAACAAAGACAGTTCTAGTTCATCCTTTCTAACCTTAATACCTTTTTCTTTCTTTATTGCTCTGGCTATAAATCTCTAGTACAGTGTTGAATAGAAGAGGCAATACCACAATCCTTGCAGTATTTCAATCGCAAGGGAATTTTCAATATTTTACCATAAAGTAGGATATACACTATATGTTTTTTGTAGCTATTATTTATCAGATTTAAGAGGTTCCCCCCAACATAGTTTACTAAGAGTTGGTTTTCATTATTCTACTAATGTGATTTATTGCATTGATTGTTTTAATGTGAAACTACATTACATTCCTGGATTAAACCTTTTATTATAATGTGTTATCCTTTGTATTTAGATTACTGGTTCAAATTGCTAATATTTGGAGTAGAATTCTTTTGTATCTATATTCTTAAGAGAGATTGACCTCTATTTTGGTAATACCTTTGTTACATTTTGGTATCAGAGTTATTCTGGCTTCATAAGATAAGTTGGAAACTGTCCCCTCTCATTCTCTTCTCTGAAAGAGCGTCTTAGATTGATGTTATTTCTTCTTTCAATGTTTCAACAACTTCATTGATGAAGCCTCTAGACCTGGAGGTTCTTCATTAGGAAGATATTTATTTACAAACAGATGTAGAGCTATTCCTATTTTCAGATCCCATTGTGTAATTTTTGGTAAATTGTGGATTTTACTGGATTTCTCTATTTCACCTATAATATCAAATATACTATATTATTTTAGTATCTTCTAACTATATTTTATATAGGAAATTAGTTATCTTCTCTCTTCCATGCTTACTATTCCTGGTAATTTGTACTCTCTTTTTATTCCTTAATCAGTCTTACTTGGGGTTTATCAGTTTTACTAATCATTCAAAGAACCAAATTTTGGCTTTAATGATTTTCTCTATTTTATTATTTTCTAGACTGATCTTTATTATTTTAATTTTTCTGCTTTCTTTGGGTTTAATTTCTTTTTGTCTTCTGACTTTCGTGATGGATGCTTAGATCATTGATTCTCCATTTTCCTCCTTTTATAATAAAGCACTTATGGGTATAAATTTGCCTCTTAGCACAGGTTTCGTTGTATCCCTCAGGTTTTAGTGTGTCGTATTTTCAGTATCATTCAATTCAAAATATTTTTAATTGCCATTGTTATTTCCTCTTTGATTCATAGGTTGTTTCCAAACATTTGAGGATTTTTAGTTACCTTTTTATTATGGACTTCAAGCTTAATTACAGTGTGATCATACGCCATAGCCTCAATGATTTTAGTTTCTTAAAATGTGTTGAGAGTCACTTTATGACACATCATATGATCAGTTTTGATAAATCTTCCATATACACTTAAAAATAATATGTGTGGCTATATTGCTGAGGGCAGTGTTCCATGCATACTGATAAGGAGTGTCAGGGGAAAAAATGTGATAATAGAAGCAGAGGTTGGGTGATGTAACTGCTGGAATGAGGCCATAAGCCAAAGAATGCAGGTAGCCTGTAGAAGCTGGAAAAGGCAAGGAACAGATTCTCTCCTAGAACCTTCAGAAGGACCGAAGCCCAGCTGACACCTTGATTTTAGCTCCATAAGATTTTTACCTTTGGTACTATAAGATAATAAGTTTGTGCTTTAGGCCATTTTTTTTGGTAATTTGCTACAGCAGCAACAACAAACTATTACACTTAATATGTCTTTTTTGCATTCTTTTATTTTCAGGCTTTGTGAATCCTTGTATCTAAGTTATGTCTTTTATAAATAACAGAATTGTTATTTTTTAATGCATTTGACAGTCTTTTAATCAGAGTATTTAGATCCCTTTCATTTACTATAGCTACTGATATACTTAAGTTTACAACTATCATATAACCATTTGTTTTCCATTTATTCCATCTGTTTTTCTTTCCTTTCTTTTATTTTTACTTTTCTTTGGATTTATCCAGTATTTGTTTTATCATTTCATTTTTGTCCTGTTAGCTTTTTACATATATTTACTTTTATCCCTAGAGATTATAACATGCATTTTGTGTTAGAAAAAAAACCTAATATAAATTAGTACTATTTTCACTTCCTAGACCATGCTGCTGATTTTTAAGTTTTCCAGCTTCTCTAGTCCTTGTCATCAGGAGCACTCATCTGCCACCAGCTGCTTTTTCATAACCAGTCTTAGGGCTGCTTTTCCACAACTTTTTCTGCTATGATGGTGTTGCCACTGGCCCTGTTTCAGCTAGTGCATAAAGTCCACCTGGTTCCTGTCTCTCCTTTTCCTCCAATTAACTGTTGCTCCTGAATAGGAGGAGGCAGCAGCAGAAATGCTGCTGTAAAAGAGATTTAAGGACTAGATTTTATTTTCCACACACTAGCTTTGTTATACTTCCCTGAGCTTCAGGTACTCTGTCTTCTATCTTCTACGTTGTAATAAGAATGCATTTTAATCACATAAACAATTAAGGAGTCTGAATCCCTTGAGGACTCATCCATCTCATTTTCTCTCTCAAGAGCAAAAGCATTTCACCACACTGAGTAAAATGGGGACAATAATCATAAGTATATTTACAATTAACCCTGAGTATCTAATGATCTCCAACCAGCTCCTGACTTCTTAAATGTAAGAAGAAAAGTTAGGAGAGATCTCATCTTTCTTGAGCTTTAGATCATGGGCTACCTTCTGTTTGTGGGATACCCAGCAAATAAGGGCATGAATTACAGTGGCCCAGAGTGAGTCAAAGACCGTCCATTGCTAATTTTAAATTATACCATCTTGGGCTGTCAGTTAGACGCTCTAAACATCTGATTATTCTTCTGTTAAGTGGTCAAAGTAATAGTACTTCTCTTTTTGTTGTGAAGGGTAAATAAGATAAAGCAGGTGAAACACTTAATACAGTGCCTGGCACATTAAATACACTTAATAAATCCTGGCAGTTTTTATTTTAATCCTAGCCCACTAACACTCTAGCGGCAACCCTTAAAGGAGCCCTGGGAGACCTATAGGGACACTAAGTCAGCAGATGGGAGGGTAACCAGTAAACTTTGCTGCCTTGACCCTTTTGCCCTGACAGTGGCTAAGAGATCACAAGGTTAATTTGTAAAATTTTCTTGATCTGTCCACCTAGGATCTAAAAATCAGACAGTGGGTAGGAAGAAAATATATCTGCTGCTTTAGGATAAAGAAACATAATATTTGTAAATATATGTGTAAGCCACCTTCTGGGGGGATCTCTGTAGGTACTTCCCTCTATTTCTGTTATTGTCTATACTCACTTACAAATATTTATTAATCCTATATTCTGTCCCCGAGCAAGGCCCCA